AAAAAAAAAAAAAAAAAAAAAAGCTGCTGTTACTGATTCCTTTGCATAACAAGTATAGACTGGAATGAAAGCCTTTGAAGACAAGCCCATCAATCCCAATGAACACAATAAGAACATAGAACCACACATCAAAATACCAACAAGTATCAGAACTAGTAACAAATGAAATTATCATTTGATACTCCCTAAATGGCAATTTCCTGTGTAACGGATGCAATTGAACTATGGGAATCGTCTTCTTCTTTAGAAACTAATAGAACATCCTAGAAACTGTGATTTTTGCACCTATGTAATAAACACAAAATCATGTAACATTTCAGGCATTCTAAAATAGAATTGTAAATACCAACCACCGACTGTGTGCTCGATTCTTCATTTGGTTGGCTTGCAGCTTGGCTCATTGAAATCACTTTCTAAAAACCACTGGAAAAATTAAAAAAAAAATAAAAATAAAAACGAGTAAAAAGCTAAAAATGGAAGCTATGAATTTCATCGAATACTGTCAATACAATTCAATTAATTGAAGAATCTTTCATTTCCATTTATTTCGAAACCTTAATGCAAACATAGATTCGTTGGCTAATGAGATCAAATCAATCGAAATAGGAAATTAAGCTCATAATTTATCATAAAAACTCAATAATTATAAAACTTTAATGAAAAAGATTACCTGAGTTTTCTACAGGTATCCCTCGAAGAGGAAGAAGAAGAAGAATATTAATCCTGTTGCTTTGGAGATGGAGATCCGTTTCTCAAACTCAGAATTTGCTTAACGGCAAAAGGCCAACCGAAACTAAAGCATTTTGCTCCATTTTACGGTTCCACAAACTGGATTTTATGGGCCGAGGCTTAACAATTAATGGGCCGAAAAGTTTGAGAATTGAATTTCTTCGAGCCTCCCACGTTGATTCGTTGAATTTAATTTTTGCGTTTTTCCTTCTTCTTTTTTTTTTTTTTAATTTCAGCCCACATATGTTATTAATAAGTATATTGATCTCAGCACTCAATGAAATTGTTTTCTTTAGACCATGTTCTTAGAGGTATTAATCTCAATATATACAAAAATTAATTCAAATTTCAAAAACACTTTAATTATCAATATATATATATACACACACATAAGCCTAAAAGTAAATAACACATTCTAACCAAACTTTTTTTTCTTCAATTACCATTATTTCTTAATTTTTATCGCCTTC